GCCCATAGGTCAATCTGATCAACACAAGCCCCAAATTGGGATTCCCTGAGAAATCTCTGGCCTATGTCAAGTTGAAAGATGAAGATTAGATTTACCCTTACAAGTTTTCTCACCAAATTAAATTCTCTGGTAGTGGTTTGACTTATTAAAGGCTTCGGAACATTATTTAATGTACAAAGTTCCTCTCTAGTATGAAATCTCTGAGGGCACTTAAAGTGGGAAAAACAGGTAGACATCTGCCACTTTCATCATATTTGTAGGGATTCCCATCAGTAAAAATTATTTTTTAAATTTACTTATTCATATTTTGTGTGTGTTATGCCTACACGTATATAAGTGCACCTCTGTCATGAGAAGCCCATGGAGGGTAGAAGAGGGGATCGAATTCCCTGGAACTGGGGTTATGAACAGTTGTTAGCCACCATGTGAGTGCTGGGATTGGAACTGGGTCTTCTGCAAAAGCAGCCAGTGCTCTTGGCTGCTGAGTAATCTTTCCACTCCGAACTTCCGTAATTCTTATGAAGGCCAGAAGAATTAACTGTCTGGATGCATTCACATTTGCAGGATTTCTTTTCATTATGAATTCTACGAGACTGAGAAAGGACTGCAGGATAAAACTTCTGTATTATTCACATTGGTAGGATGCCTCACTAATACGAATATTTTCTTTTGTTATGAAATGGGGTAAAGTGCATCCTCTAAAAGTTCTTAGACTCATTCATAAAATAATTTAAGAATGGACACACACAGAAACCTTAAGACAGTCTTATTAGAATTTTAAGGAAAATCTTCAGGGAAGGGGGACTGGTAATCTTGCTAGATGCCTTAAAGAAGAGAATGGAGGGGAAAGGAAAGGAAGTCATGAAGCCAGGCAGGTTTAGAGCATGCATGAAGGGCAGACACGTGACTGACAGCCACATGGCTGGGAGAAGAAAGGTTTAGTGAAAAAGTAAAGAAATACAAGATGCTAGGGATCCCCAAAGTTTAAAGAAAGCATATTTAGAAAAGTGTTACAAAGCATATTTAGAAAAGATTTGAATGATTAGGAAAGTCTTCGGCAGGTTTAGAGCATGCATGAAGGGCAGACACGTGACTGACAGCCACATGGCTGGGAGAAGAAAGGTTTAGTGAAAAAGTAAAGAAATACAAGATGCTAGGGATCCCCAAAGTTTAAAGAAAGCATATTTAGAAAAGTGTTACAAAGCATATTTAGAAAAGATTTGAATGATTAGGAGTCTTCACCATGTACTTTGTAAAGTTTTTCTCCAGAATCAATTCTTTGACATCTTTTTAAGGTTTGAATAAAAGCTGTTGCCACATTCATCACGTGTGTAGGGTTTTCTCCAGTATGAACTACCTTGTATTAAGGATAGAATATTTAATAAAGGCTAGCATTGTTCACAAATGAAAGGTTTCTCAACAATATAAACTATCTTGTGTCAAGTAAGGCCTGAAACAAGAAAAGGCTTTGTCTCAATGTTCACAAGAGTATGGTTTCGCTCCAGTAAGAATCCTTTGATGCTGTTTATGGTCTGAAGAGTATCAAGAAGTTTTGCCACATTCCTCACATTTGTGGAGTTTCTAGCCAGTACAGATATTATGGTCTTTAGAAAGTGCTGACTGAAGAGTAAAGACAGGGCCACATCCTCCACATGAATATGGTTTATCTCTAGCATAGATTCTTTTAGGTGGAGTAAGGTGGAGCAAGGTTTCCCCAATTCTTCATGTATGTATGAGGCTCCGCTATGAACTGGTCAGGGTTGGTAAAGGTGTGAAGAATGGATAAGAGCTTTTCCACATTCCTCGCACTGGTAGGATTTCTCTCCAGTGTGTATTCTCTGCTGCTTTGAAAACAATGAGTAAATCCCAAAGGCCTTGCCACATTCTTCATATCTGAAGAGTTTCTCTGGAATATGAGTCTCCTGATCATTAAAAAGCAATGAGTGAGCAATAAAGTAGCTTCCATCATCTTTGCATGTATATGGTTTCACTCCACTATGAATTTTCTGGGGTACAGTAAGTGCCGAGCAAGTATCCAAGGCATTGCCACATCTATACAATGGTAGAGTTTATAGACAGAATGAATTGAGGGTTTTTAAGATGTTCAGTATCACAAAGTATTTTGTCACATTCATCACAGTTGTAGGATATTGCACCAGTGTGAACAATCTTGGGAACAAGGGCTGAATGATTAGGCAAGGCCTTTATGCACGATTCATACTCTTAGGGCTTCTATCAGACCGAACACTTTCCTATTTTTTAAAGTTTCTATGAACTCTCTTATGATGACTAAGTCCTGTAGGGTTAGCAAAGACTTTCCCACAATATTCACACATGCACACTTTCTCTCTAGAATGAACCTTTTGATGTCTTTTAAGGTTGGAAATATAACAAAATGTTTTCTTGCATTCTTCACATTTGTAGGGTTTCTGTCCAGTATGAACAACCTTGTGCTGGGTAACAGCTGAAATGGTGGGAAAGGACTTGTCACATTCCTGACATCTGAAAGGTTTCTCTCCAGTGTGAACTCTTCGGTGTTGGCGAAGGAGTGTAGATCTTTTAAAAGCTTTGCCACATTCTTTGCATTTGTACGGTTTCTCTTCTGAATGAATTCTTTGATGTTTTCTGAGTTTTGTAGTAGAGTAAAACATTTTGTCACATTTGTCACATGGGTAGGATTCCTCTCCACTATGAATTCTCTGATGTCGGGTGAGGGCTAAAGGAAACAAAAATGTTTTACCACATTCATCACACTTGTAAGGGAAGTCTCCAGTATGAATGACCTTATGCTTAGTAAGGGAGTAATTATGAGCAAAGGCATTTCCACATTCTTCACACTTGTAGGGTTTCTCTCCAGTATGAATTCTCCTGTGTTTAAAAAGGATTGAGCGAGTACCAAAGGTCTTGCCACATTCTTCACACTCGTAGGGTTTCTCTCCAGTATGAATTCGTTTGTGTTTGGAAAGTGTTGAGTGGGTAACAAAGGCTTTGCCACATTCATTACACTTGTAGGGTTTCTCTCCGGTATGAATTCTCTTGTGTTCAGAGAGTTTTGAGTGAGTACGGGGTTTCTCTCCAGTATGAATTCGTTTGTGTTTGGAAAGTGTTGAGTGGGTACCAAAGGCTTTGCCACATTCATTACACTTGTAGGGTTTCTCTCCAGTATGAATTCTCTTGTGTTTAGAGAGTTTTGAGTGAGTACTAAAGGCTTTGCCACATTCTTCACAACCATAGGGGTTCTCTCCAGAATGATTTCTTTGATGATGTCTAAGGGCTGAAGGATAGTAAAAACTTTTGCCACATTCTTCACATTTGTAGGGTTTGTCTGCCGTGTGCCGTATCTTGTGCCAAGTCAGAGATGAATTACTTGTAAAGGCTTTTCCACATTCTTCACACCTATATGGTTTCTCTCCAGTATGAATTCTCTTGTGTTTAGAAAGGTTTGAGTGATCACCAAAGCACCTGCCACATTCTTCACACTTGTACGGTTTCTCCCCAGAATGAATTCTTCCATGCTGCTTAAGCACTGAAGCAGAGTAAAACCTTTTGCCACATTCTTCACATTCAAAAGATTTTGCACCCGTATGCCTTTTCTTGTGGGCATTTAGAGCTGAATTACTAATAAAGGCTTTTCCACATTCTTCACACCGGTAGGGCTTCTCTCCAGTATGAATTCTCTGATGTACAGAAAGTGCTGAGCGAGCACCAAAGGCTTTACCACATTCATCACATTTGTAGGGTTTCTCTCCAGTATGAATTCCCAAATGTTGAATAAGGCGTGAGTGCTGATCAAAGGCTTTGCCACATTCTTTACACTTAAAGGGTTTTGTTCCTGTTGAGTAAAGGTTGAGGTATGAATAAAACCTAAGCAATATTCTTTATATATATAATGGGTAGCTTGAATATACAGACTTTTACTAATATTTACATTAAACATAAATGAGAAATTACAGGCATGTTTCCACACCAATATTCACTGGAGCATAATTTCAAAAATAGGTGGAAACAATCTAAGCTTCTACTGAAATAAGAAGATGAGGACACTTCAATAAGAGTCCAGTGATGTTTAAAAGCCATACTTTAAGGCCTATACTAATGTGGTCAGAGGGATTTAAGGACAGTTTTTGCCCCTTGCCCTCTAAGGTCGACCAAGATCCAGGGGACTATGGAACATCTCTCAAAATGTCCTGTAAATGTGGTGAGTCACCTGTCCTCTTGTTCAAGGCGGACATGGAGATCCCAAGAGATAGACTTGAACCAGTGTCCAATCTACAAAGAGGAGGGTCAACTTAGAGGAAACATCTCATTCATGCTTCCAAGTGAACCCAGACATGGTCAAACAGGACCCTTGACTTATCTTCACATAGATGGAAATGATAAAAGAAAGGAGCCAGGAACTCCTCCCAAGCCCATGTGACCCCTGAGGAACAGATCCTCAAATGACCTTAAGTGTAAACATAAATTGATTTATTTGGGCCAACTGTATGGTCTTGAACACCCAAAAAGGAAAGTATAATCAGAGTAAAGTCATCAGTATAATTCTTTAAGAGTTCAAGGGATTACACTTCCCAGACAATAGGCTTAAGTCTATATAAAAAGTTATTTAGACAATTATTTCTCATTGATGATTTTTTTTCCTAACCAGAAAGTGCTGTTCAAATATAAGACTCCAAATCTTGGTCTCCAATACTGTAGTGCCCACCTGTAGTTAAGGGAGACAACCAGCTATTGTTATAAAACGATGGATAAATTTGTTTTCTCCCCCTCTGTACAAGCCTTTGAGAGGGAACTGACAGTGAGTCTAACCACTCCAACAGCTATTAAAATACCTGAAAGCAAATCCTGAATCCATCACTCTAGAGTTCAGCCTTAGAACACAAAAGAAAAATAAGGAGGAACCCAACAGAGGGATGCTTTCATAAGCCCTTGTCAAGAAATTCCAATGGACTCTCACATGAACATTTAAAAATTGCCTGTTCTGACTTTTTTCTAGTCCCTGTCTAGAACTTGTAATGCTAATTACTCTTGCCTTTACTTCT